TGATCCTCGGTTTGATTGTCGGTGTTTCGCTGTTGTTTAATCTGCTGAGAATCCGGTGTCCCGATGTCGTTGGCTGGTTTTGTTCGATATCCATCGACGGGAAATCAGTGAGACTGAATACCCCCTCGGTTGGTGATGCTGCTGGAGCGGTGGTATTGTTCGATGTGGCTACATCCAAAAAATTTTGTTTGGGATGTGCTGCTCGGCCACAATGGTGGCACGTTTTTGTTTGCTCGATGATGGAATGGCGCTTTCGAGTCGCATTCGCAAAACTCGAACACCGCTTAGGAATCCTGGAAAGTAGTGCTTCCATTTCTCATGTCAACTGGAAATCACTGTCCCGTACTTTGCCATGAGGTTCATAACAGTGGCTTGTTGCCATGCCAGTGGAAGGTTATGCACTCGAACGGTCACTGCTTCACAATCCACATATACCGGGATTCTGAACTCACTCTTCGCACAGAGAAACACGTGTTTATAGTTGTGCGCCTTTTCATAGCGCAAGGCAATTTCATTGTCTATCATCTCAGTAAAAACACAATTTCGGACGTCATGAAACTGAATGCATCTAACGTCCGAATATTGAAGCTAATATTGTTCTCGAAGATTTTTTGCACTTTTCCCACATTGGGAAGAACTGGAAGGACACTGAAGTCAAAAACAAGTGTGTTTTTACAATAGTTCACCAAGTTAAGCAGAGCAGAAAGAGCAGTAATGGAGAACGAGAACCTAAAAGTGGTCAATTCATAAAAGAACTCAGCGTTTTTTTAGAAAGCACATATAGAGGACTCAATACAAAGAATTTGGACTTGTGACCAGAAAAAGGGTGAACTTTTGGAAGATGGCGACTTCTGGTATGGTCCGAAGTGAAAATGTTATACAATGTAGGCCCAAGAATGCTACCCTGAGGAACTCCTGCTCTAACAGGTTGTGGATCAGATTTGGAATTTTGATAATTTAAACGGCCGAGTTCTGTCAGTTAAATAATTTTGAACTAATTTCATAATGTAAAGTGGAAAATTAAACTTTTTCAATTTAGCAATCAAACCTTCCTGCCAAACACTATCGAATGTTTTTTCTATGTCTAGAAGAGTAACTCTAGTTGAGCATCCTTCAGATTTGTTTGAACGAATTAAATTGGTAACTCTTAAGAGTTGATGAGTAGTTGAATGCCCATGGCGAAATACAAACTGCTCATCTGCAAAAATTGAGTTCGTATTGATGTGAAGCACCATTCTATTACAAATAATCTTTTCAAAAAGTTTACTTATTGAAGAAAGCAAACTTATTGGACAGAAGCTAGAAGCTTCAGCTGGGTTTTTATACGGCTTCAAAATTGGAACAACTTTTGCATTATTCCATTTATCAGGAAAGTATGCCAAATGGAAACATCTGTTAAATAATTTTACCAAGAAAGACAAGGTACTCTCTGGGAGTTTTTTGATGAGGATATAGAAAAATCCATCATCACCTGGAGCTTCCATATTATAAAACTTTTTAGTTATAGATTTAATTTCATCCAAATCAGTCCCCCAGGAATCATCAAAAATATTTTCCCGAGAGAAAAGATTCAGATAATCACGAGCAACCTGATTCTCAATAGGACTAGTAAGACCCAAACTAAAGTTATGGGAACTCTTGAATTGCTTAGCAAGTTTCTGAACTTTTTCCGAATTTCTGATCAAAATTTTACCACCTTCTTCAAGCGCTGGAATAGAGTTTTGAGGTTTTTCAATATTTTTGTGAGTTTCCAAAAGAGATTGGAACTCGGGTCTCAGGGAAGAGAATCGCTTTTTAATTTGTTTTTGCAAGATAACTTTAATGGCAGGATCGGGTGTTCTTTGATACGGACATTTTTCAGCCGGAGTGGAAGATCGTCGTCTATTGTAATTGAATCGAATTTAACCTCGCATTTTGGAACTGATGCAGCTCTTGCTTCCACTACAGAAGTAGTCAGAGATTCAAGAGCATAATTAATTTCATCTTTGGTTTGCAAAGAAATGTTTGAATCAAAGCTGTATTCCATAAATGTTCGATATTGCTCCCAATCAGCTCTATGGTAATTGAAAGTAGAGCTGTTGGGATTAAAAATTATTTCTTGGAATATTTCAAAAGTTACTGGAAGGTGATCAGAACCGAAGTCAGCATGGGTAACCAATTGGCTACAAAGTTGACATGAATCCGTTAAGACCAAATCAATAGTTGAGGGATTTCTTGCTGAAGAAAAGCATGTTGAGCTGTTTGGATATTGAAAAATGTAATAACCAGCAAAACAATCATCAAACGGAATATTACCATTGGAATTGCTATGAGCATTATTCCATGAGCGGTGTTTTGCATTAAAATCACCAATAATGAAGAATTTAGACCTATGACGGGTAAGTTTCTGGAGGTCACCCTTGAGAAAATTCTTTTGCTGGCCTACGCATTGGAATGGCAAATAGGCAGCTATAAACGTAAGTTGTCCAAATTGTGTTTCAACAGAAACTCCCAAAGTTTCAAAAACTTTGGTTTCAAATGAAGAAAAAATTTTATGTTTGGTTCGTCTATGAACAATGATGGCAACGCCACCACAGGGTCCATCAAGACGATCATTTCTATAAATTAAATAATTTGCGTCCTTCTTAACCTTATGATCAGGTTTAAGGAACGTTTCAGTTATAACGGCAATATGCACGTTATGAACTCTCAAAAAGTTAAATAGCTCGTCTTCATTATCTTTAAGAGATCGAGCATTCCAATTTAAAATGTTTAATGCTTTAAAATCCATTACTGAATTTTAAAGTCATGACAATATTTTAGATTTAAGCATATCAGAAATCATGTCAATTAATGAATTCTGTAAAAATTCCATTTTGGGGGCAGTAATGCTTCCTAAGTTAAAATTGTCAAAATTTCCGTTAGAACGTTGGTTAGTATTTTGATTTCTACCCGGTGCAATAGCAGCATACGTAGCTCCATTAACTTGCTGAACATTGTTAGCAGCGAGGGGAGTAGGTACAGATGAAACATTTGAAGCAGGGGTGATATTTGTACCTACGGGTACGAATGTAGAATTTGTGCCTCGCTGACCGTTGTTAACAGCAGAAGAATTTGTACCTGGTCGGGAATGTGGAGCGTTTCCTAACTGTCACTTAGAACGAGATTGTAGGATCGCTTTACGAGTCTTACATTCCCAAAACTTGGATTTGTGGTTTTCACCACAATTCGAACATTTAAATTTCTTAGGCTCTTCCTTCACAGGACATCGTGCTTTGCCCTCTCACCACAATTCATGCATTTAGCTGGCATGTAGCAATTTTTTGTTCCGTGACCTTACCGCACTGGGTGAGGTTTTGGAAATTTCCTCCAGTCTTCCTGAAGTGTTCCCAGTTCACTCGAACATGCAGGATAAGGCTAGCTTTTTCCAAGGCCTTAAGGTTGTTTAGTTCACTAGACTTGAAGTGAACTAAATAAAAATAAATTTCATTTTCATTTTGATTACTTGGAGTGGCACAACTCCAAGTAATTTTGCCTGTTCATCTTTGATCTGATCCAGGGATTCACCACTGGCCAATCCTTCATGACAACCTTGAACACACGTTCAGTTTTGGTGTAGTAAGTAAAAAATTGTTGCTGCTTCTCAGTAAGATACTTGAGAAGCCGTTTGAATCCGTCCATGGTTTCAGCCAATACACGGCATTCACTCCGACGACCAACTTGCAGTGAAAACTTGTTCCGTGCGAAGAGCATGGAAATCGGAAGTGGTTACCACGATAGGGGGCATCTTTTCCTTCTTGGAATTAAGCCAGGAAAGTTTACTAGATTTTTTCCTGGGTAATGGATCATTCTCATCATCCGTGAGAAAATCAAATTGATTACTCAAATTAATTTCATCAGAAGGGGGATCAAGAGATTGCTCTTTTCTTTTGCGCTTAGGCGCCATGGCGCGGAAGTAAATTTTTATCCAAATCGACTTCCAAGCAGATTACTATAAGAATCTGCAGGATTTAAGAGGAATTTTCCAAATCGATATCCAAGCAGGATTACCTCGGGTAGGGTTCAAACAAGGATCGAAGAGGAATAAGAGTCAAACAAGGTAGAAAATGTACACGTATATTGAGCACTGAAAAGTGCTGTTTAAATTTGTTGTAGTTAAAGGTAGCAGTAACACTTCCTTCAGCAAAAAGCAAATAGATCCGCACGGCGAGAGAGCACGATGCGGATTGGATTAAATTATAAACTGATTTTTCTCTAACTGATGATACAATCAAATGTCATTAGCCAAATACATCCGTAGACCATAGGTCCAGCGTTGTATAATTGACAATGCACCCGTGTACTGAATGGGAATTGTGGGTTCGAATCCCACCGGTGCCCTTAGATTGTTTCACTAATTTGCTCAGACACACGTCTCTTACCGATGATATGTGCTTACTTCTCAGTATCTTCTAACTTTCTTATGAAAAATGCTGTAAGTCTCAGAATCAAGGTGAGTTTCCCAAGATTTTGAAGCAGGATTTTATTTTGAAGTCCAGCTGGCATCGAAACCTTTTTTTAAATTCCTGAATTTGGTAATATTCTTATGAATAAAATTTGGTCGAAAGGAAATCTTTAGGACATGGGACTGTTATGTGAATAGCGGCATTATTGGCAATTCTTGACAACTACTTACACAAGTTAAAAAGTGGTTTTTGTGGCATGAATTTACATTCTCATATTATTTTAACCATTATGTGCGTGACGGGTTATCCGGGTAGCTCCTATTAAACAACACGGTGTAGAAAGCAGCAGAACATTCCTCACGCACATTAACATATAGTTAATTTTTAATTTGTTTGCTTGTTAACATGTTGATTCAGTTTTAGCACGATAAATGTATTTTATATTTTTGTTTTATTGTTAGGCGCTTGATTTTTTTTTCAATTCTGTAATTTACTGTAAATATTCGCTTTGCCAAATCGCAAAAACTGATTCCCTTTATTTACAATTTACAAACCCTCCAACCATGCCCAATCCAGGAGGATCAAGCAACGCCAACTCACCCGCCAGTCATCAATCCTCGGCGACACCGTCGCCGGCCGCTTCCCAGCAGTACCTTTCGTCTAACAGCTCCTCCGGGGTAAGTAGCTTCATGGGCAGCAATCGGCGGGACTCGCGAGAAGCGGAAACCCAGTTCGTGGACCATCCCTCCATGGGACCGGCGTCCGGGATGGGCGGCCCCAGCAGTCTAACCTCGACCGGCAGTCCACACAACAGCCTCGAGTACTCGCTGGTTAACATTAACGGTTCGATCGTCGGTGGCGTCGGAAGCGAGCGGCAACGTGATTTGGCCGTCAGTGCCGTTGTGCTGGACGAGTGGCTAAAGGAACTATCCGCCATCACCCAGGAACAGTGCATCATAATGATATCGGAACAGGTTTTGACCCAGCCGCAAGGAAAAACTAGCTGAGGTCCGGCTAGGAAGGCTAGAAAACCGATCAAATCTAGTTAATAGGAAGTTATTTAAAATTTTACTAAGCTACAACTATCTTATGATTTTGTTTTTACGAATCAATTTTAGAACAAATGGCGATTTTATTGCACGTCTGAGACGAAAATCGCCCATGGAAGTCGCTTATTTTTTTTCATATACATCACATCGTTTCATTTCTAAAATGAAGACAATTTTATATTTAATTAGGGCTTACATTTTATTTTATTTGTCTTCTCGTTATTCCTTTTTCAAAATCTTGCGCTACGTTTTTACACGTCTTATCTTGTACATTTTTATACAATGAAACTGATTTTACGAATGCTTTAAACGATAATGAAACGAATGAAAAGTTTTAAGGTCTTTGCGTGTGCAGATCCTCTCTCTTACAACGATTCTCTAATCAATCGATCAACTAACTAATCAGTACACACAGTAGCAATTATCAAACAGCCGACCAAAAAGCCAAAAATAGCTTCAAACGTCCATAGTAGTGCAACCGTAAATAATAATAATAATCAATAATCGTTCGGATTTGTAAGTATTTACGCGTATTAGTACAGTTCACGAGTTGACATGCAATAAACAGTAACAATTACCTTAAAAAACGAAGCATATATGGTAGATTGAAAACCGAGTTGTAAAGTGTAATAAGTAACATTTTCTCGCGAATAGGTTCAATGATGTAAACGAGCATATTTTTGTAGAAATATATACATCAACTGATTGATATTTGAGAGAGAGACTAAATGTGTCGGTTGTGAGCGTTAGTTTGATTATCTAAAACAATCCGATCACCATTGTATTCCAACCCACTGAGTTCCTGAATTGAAATGTCTTTTAACACCCGGTAAAATGTGTAATGGCAAATTGTTCAGAAATTTTTCGATCGATTTTAAAACAATTGGTAACGAATACATGTTCAACATCTGTGTTTCCAAATGGCGCCAATAAATTTTAAATTCGTCAATAAATGGCTGAGCTATGATTTTTCAAATATTGACAGTTTGCCGCTACACATTTTACCAGAGGGGCATCGTGTTCGGAGTGTTAATAACCCAGATTAATCCACCTGTCGCCGAAATCAAGCAAACACTACGTACGCAGTAAGAAAAAAGTATATACTCAACGTTAAGTTTAAACGAACTCAACGTTGGGTTCTGTTAATTGAGGTTTACAATTGATCAATTAGGTTTTGCATCGTCGGGGTTAACCTCAATCTGTTGACAGTTTAGTGGTACTGTTTACGTGGACTTAGTCGATTTTTTCTTGGGTAGATTTTCTCGATAATTTTTCAGACTGCAGTGAGATGTAAACCACTCTTCTGCATTGTCCTCGACAATTTTCAAGTTAAGATTCGGAAATTTTAAAATATTTTTTTTTTTTTAAAAACGACTTAATGCTTGTAAACACTGAAATGTCAAAAAGGTTCAGCCGATTTCCACTGAGTTCATTCGTGACGTCACGCTAAATTCTCTAAGAAATATCACAAGAATATAGTTATAATACTTCTCGGAATTATCTTCCGAATACAAATTTCGTTTAATTGAATTGCCTTGAAATTCTCGTCAGTAAGAAATGCTATGAAAAAAATTCTAAGAATTTTCATTTAATTCATTTCAGATATATTTTTTAATCACACTCCTTCCCTTGGAATTCTTCTCACATTGAAAGCCTCCTAAGAATTAATTTTCATTTCTCCTAACAAATTCCTTAGATTTCTCCCCTTAATTTGTTTGGCAATCACTCCGGGAATTATTATGAAATCAATGAATGAATGAATGAATGAATGAAGTGAATGAAATTAACTAGGAATATTGAACGTTTTTATTTAAAATGCTTTCTTTTCTCTGGAATATCCTTAGTAAAAAATATATTAAATTTCCTAAGTACTGATGAGATTCCCTGAGACTTCCAGGCATTTTCAGGAGAAGTGAAATTCCCGTTTTTTCAGGTAGTAGACACTTGGAGGTTTAGTCATACACTTTTTATTTAATCTTTCGCTCTAAAGGTTCCTATCGTACACATTTAAGTATTTATGAGATTCTAATTGAATAAATCTAAAACATCAAACATTTATTTGGTATGCCATCAGAACGACTTATTTTCTTCCCTTAGGTCACTTTTTAGTCACTTTTTTACAACTATTAGTCACTTTTAGGTCACTTATTTCTTCAACATGGTCACTAAAATCACTTATCCGCCCTGAAGCTCGCCCTGAAACCACTTCTTTAGTACACGGCGAATGAGAACGAACCAAATTTGAGTTTAGTTCACTCATAATCGCTAAAAGTGCAGGAACTCAGCGATGAGTAAAATTTGTCTCATGGTTTCCTGTGGAAAACCTAAAAAAAGTGCCGGAAAATGAGGAAATTGACGAAAATTTTATTCAGTCTCGGAGTAGTACCAAAAGACTGAGTGAATCCAATCTTTACTTTTCTCAAATTCGGGAATTTTTCTCTGGAAAAACCTGGGAAAACATGAGGCAAATTTACTCATCGCTGAGTTCCTGCACTTTTGGCGATTATGAGTGAACTAAACTCAAATTTGGGTCGTTCTCATTCGCCGTGTATGTTGTTATGCTGCGTAAGGGAACTAGGAGCATGAAGGTCATCCGAGGTAAGACCACCGACAAACCGACATGAATGAGCATAGCAAAAACAGTAAAAATTCTGACCAAAGCACACTACTGACATCTGGCTCCGTGTTCGCGGGAAATATTTAGCTAAGCCATGAACCCGCATGCAAAAGTTATGAATTGGTTCGTGTGTGATCTATTCTGGACAAATTATTTTTATCCAGATTAATAAATCCTGTGGTTTTGACAGTTCGGATCACTGCACATTTAAATCGGTCGATTAAGATTTTCGGGCATAAGTGTAGTGTCATGTCGGTTTGTCGGTGGTAAGACTGCCACCCTCAATATATTTTGCAAATGAAGACTGTAATGCTACCGCACCATGAATCTATGCATATGGTATTCCCAGAGACGTTGAATAGAGACACGCATAGACTGAAGCAAGAAGAACCAAACGAACCGTCAAAGGCTAAACGAAACGAGCAAAGTAAATAAACATTAGTGTTCGCTCAATTCACCAGAAAGGAGTATTGTTCTCAATGATGAAAAAAGTGTTTAATTTTTTTCACGAAATATTTGATAATCTGTTATTTATTTATTTATTGTTGATAAAAAAGTGACTAAAACGCAATAATACCAATGATTTCACCGTGCACAAATCAATAATAGGTTTGTTCCGATGCGTTAGTTCGTTAGAGGTTCAAAACAAAAGAAACGCTCCTAGCGAATCCCCTTTTTCTACGTTTATCCGTAGGACGAAGAAAATCTAATGGCGTTTCAATGCGTTAGGACGGAATTGAAACTCGTAGGACGAATTTAGAATCAAGAAGCAGTGTTAGATTTTGAACAATATCTCAACAATTTGTGACTCTTTAACAAATCCAACGGTACGTATGGAAAGGTGAATAAATTTAGAAGTCTTCTTTGACAGGAATATTCCATTTTTTGTTCGAACCCGTTCAAAAAAGGGGGTAAAGCGTGGGTTATTCTTAGTAGGATGGAAATTAGATCAAAAACCCTATAACACAGACAAACAGACATAACACATTGAATATTTCTCACTATAAAACATCGTCGCTAAAACATTACCACCATCTGTTGAGTACACTGTGGTGGGTAGTACGCTGAACAGATGGCGGTAGTGTGTAAACGTCAAACGCAAAGGAACGGACTACGCGCGCCACAGGTGGCGGTACTACCAACTACGATACTTTTAAATTTACCGTTAAATGCTTGTTCGATGAACAACTTGCGAGTGTTATGTCTGTTTGTCTGTGCCTATAATATTCAACAACTTTTTTTTTCTGTATTCGTCAGGTTAAAAGGTAGGGTTTAGCTACCCCATTTCCGGCCTATTAAGCACAACCTGCACTTAGTCTTTCTTAATCTAGCGTAGTTTAGCACCAAACGAAATGTTATTATTACTGATGGCTTCTAAGATTAAGATAAAGAGAAACAAATTTGTTGAGATATTGTTAAAAGTCTAACCACAAACGAAGTGACAGACGACTAACTGGCGAAGAAATCCATTAAAATAATGTGGTTCACTGTAATAGAATTTTCTTGGAAGCTTGTGCCATCATCCACCAGATGGGTTAGTTTTTTTGTCTTGATTTGAACAAAGTTGATTTTGTGTACAATGATTCTTTAACAGTGTGCAAAGAGTGTATCATTTTGTCATTTTTTTATGCATTTCAGTTTTGAGTAGAGTGAAAGAGATAGAAACAAAACATTCTAATACATTTGGTGAAATTGCTAGTACAATCCAGTAGTAGTGTTGCCATGTGGTACACTGTAAAATTGAAATAGCAGGTTAGTCACCAAAGTTTTCGAGCCGCTCCGTCTGTCACTTCGTTTGTGGTCTAACACTGCTCTTGACACCAAACTCGGCCTACGGACTCTAAACTCGGCCTAACGCATTGAAACGCCAATGAATTCACTTCGGCCTATCGAATGAAGTTAAAAATTGATTCGGTCGGAGCGCTTCAATTGTTTTTGAGAATATTGGGGCAAACATTCATATCACGCGTTCTTATTGACTTCGTTCGGTAGCATTTGAACTAAAGTATCGTACCAAAGCATAAATTTCCTGTTAACGCCGAAATCATGGAGCTATTTGATGTTTTCTGCTTGATAGGCCCAAAATGGGCGCTTAGGCTGAAGTAGTTCTCTACCCTAGTATCTTTAAAAAAAATCATAAAATCGTAATTCCAAATCATTCTCATGCATCTTCAAGATGGGTGTTTAAGGTATACTTTGGTCCAATAAGACCACTGAAATAGCGCATGGGTTACGTAGAATATTAGAAAAGATTTTCAAAAAAGGGGCTGGCGAAATCGGGTCATTTCTATATATGTCTCTAGTGGGATCTCTTGGTCCCCTTATCATTATCAAGAGCTGACATATACTAAATTGAGCTGAAAAAGAACTGGCATCACTGATAAGTTCGAAATGCAATGGCTTGCTTAACGCGTCAGTGGCGCCACCATGCAAATGCAAGCACATTCCCTACTAAAGCCTTATTTGCGAAGAATGTGATGGCGAGTGCTATGTCTGTGGATTTAGTTTCAAACTAGCTTTTACCGAACAGTTCAGCTTTTCAGATTTCGGTAAAAATTACCGAAGGCGGCGATAATTTCTAAGTGTGTGTAGAAGGCTTACAATTGCAGCAAAGTAAATATTGCAGTAGAATCATTTTTTCAATCTCAATACATTCGTTTCCGGAACCCTTTATCTTATGGAACAATTACAAACAATGATTATTCAATACAGTATCATTGTTGTTAGCTATATTTAGTTCAACTAATCATTTTAATGAGTGTACGATATAACATCGTTGAAAAACGTTTCAATAATTCATGAAGAACAATCATGTAAGATGTATTTTATTGGGAGCGATATTCATCCCAGAAAACCATGCCAAAACAAATGTTTGCTGTTGGATTTCTTAAAAGGCAAATCTATATGACTATATAATGATTGGGATAGATCTGTTTACAATCTTAAACGTCAAAAATCAAAGGAAGCTATTACAATGAGATATACATGTTTTCCTATACTGCAAAGTTAAATGACTGTCCAATAGTTTCTACATGTCTGTTTACACGCGACATATCAACAAACGTCAAAAATCGTTAAAAGCAACTCCAATAAAATAAACATAAATATCTAA